AGGCCCAGCGCTGCTCTGCGCTCCCGGGTCGCGGGGAGCCGGGCAGCCCGGCTGGTGACGGACGTGCAGCTGCTCTGGAAGGCAGGCGAAAGCGGACGGAATGTTACCAAGCAAGCGGCCCTCCCCACCCGGAGCTCAAATAACACGCAATTACGAGAGGCTTTGAAATAACCCCGGCCCAGCTTCCACCCGTCACTCTCCGCCACGTGGTAACTGCTACCGGCCACACCTTTCTGCTTCTCTGCTTCTCTCTGACCCTGGATAGATTACCCTGCACTGGGGATCAGCGTTCCCCTGTCCAGGGCACATCTCTGGGCTTCGGAGTGCTGAGTGGGGCACACTTGTCCCTCTGGACTAGAGTCGGGGTGGTTGCCTGGGGGCCGAGGGGAACGGGCTTCGAATTCATTGACTTTCCTGTCCACCTGTAACCAGGGAGCTAAAGGTTACAACGTTTTGCGTTCATAGCCTAAGATTAGCTTTCTTATTGTTGTCGTTCTTGTTTTGTTTTAATAGAGGTGCTGGGGGTTGAACCCAGGACCTTGTGCACGCTAAGTACGTGCTCTACCGCGGAGCTGTACCGCCTCCACCAACCCTTAGAATGCACTTTTGTTTATTCACTCAGCAGCTGTGTCCTGAGAGCTGTCGGTGAGCAGGGGCTGCGCTCAGGCCGGAAAGGGTGAGCAAATCTCTGTGCGTGAACTTCAGCAGGAGAGAAGAGAAGGGACAGGCGTTATGTAAGCACAAAGTCCACTCGCTCTCCCCGGGGATGACGCAGCGAAGGGAACAGCCCCGCAAGGAGGCGGAGGGAGGCTTTACACAGGGATTGCGAGAACGCGGAGAACGTGGGGAGAGAGGGGGCTCTCCCAGGGCTGCTCTGTGCACTCCGTGTCTGCTGCATCCCAGATGGAATGATGGTAAGTGGCCGCGTGCTTCCTCCGAACACACAGCGCTTTGTATACAAAGTCTGATTAAGCGTTGCTTCATTGTAAGCATTGCAAGAAGGTTTAAAAAAAAGTCTGGTTTTCAAATTCTGAGTGAATGTACGACTTGTTCCCACTGTATCAGTTGGTTCTTCTTTATGTGAAATTTTGGTGACTTTCTCGTGCTCATAAACAAAGTTAACAGAAACATTGAAGCCACAGACTGTGGAAGCTCACGGACAGCAGACAGACGTGAAGATGGCGCTCCCCCTCCACCCCACACAACGGCCAAACGGGCTTTAGGACCAGCAGATGCTTACGATAACGTCAAGGCTGTTTCCACATCACAGGACTGTCACATGAGCTTTTTCCAAATATAAATTCACCTCTCTGCCAAGGCACTGTGACATGATCGCTAAACAGCTTCCGTATTGAAAGTGGTGGAGACATTCAGAGAGGGAAATAAGATCACATTTTAGAAGGAAGCCCCCCGCCAAAAATAAAAAATAAAAAAATAAAGAAGGAAGCTTCCTATGCATAGGGCACATATGTGGACATGTGTATCCATGTCCCGGAGTTCTGCACGTCTGCCTGTTTCAACAAATTTAGAGACACATAAGGGGCCAGTCCCAAGCGTGGCACTTTAGGTGATGCCTTTTACGGGGTAGTAATTTGCAGCTGGCTGTTCGCCACGTAGCTGAGGAGACGCCTCTGTTTCCATCAGGGTGAATCCCCACCAGAAACAGTCTGTCCTGGAGAACCTAAGAATGGTAGGGGTCCTCTGCCCCTGTTCTCCCCAGGAGATGATGGCTCACTCAGGTGCCCCTGGGAGCTGCTGGATGACACCATGCGACAGCTCATCGTTCCATCACTGTGTTCCTTGCTGCAGGAAGAGCATCACACGTTTTGCTTTCCCGCACCCTGTGGACAGCCGACACACGGGCGCTGGTGGGGCCAGCAGGGCTCACTCAGCAAAGGGGACGAGTCAGCGTTATCTGTTAAGAGCAGGCGAGGACCGGGAGGTGGGCACTCTGCACATTTACCTGCCACGCCAACACTGAGAAGCCTTCGCTTTCTCCGTTTTTATAACAACTTTGTCATTTAGTTCATAAACCATAAACCCTTTCAGAGGGTACAGTCCAGTAGTTTTTGGTGTGTTCGCAGCTACAGCACGTTCGCAGCATAGTCTCATTTGAGGTATTTTACAGCCCCCACCAAGGAACCCCCTTCTCACTGCCCCCTCCAGCTTCTGGCAGCCTTTCTGTCTGTAGGAATTTACCTATTTGTTATTACTTTATTTTCTTGTCAATAATTATGTCTTCCTGACTGACTGATCGTTTATCAATACAAGACATTCTTTCTCTCCACTGTGTTGGGTATGAGGGTAGCCGCTCCGTTTTCCTTTTGATCCCAGTTCTTGCACTATGTCTCTTACCCCCTTTTGCTTTCAACCCATTTGTGTTTCTGAACCTAAACAGTGTCTCTTGTAAATAGCATGGGGTTGGGTCATGACTTTTTTCATCCATTTTAGCAATCTCTGCCTTGCAGGTGGAGGGCTGAATCAGCTTCCAGTGACCGTGATTATGGATAAGGTTTATTTCTGCTATGTTGCTGTGTGTTTCCCTCACCTCTCCCACTCCTTACCCGCTTTAGCCCTCATTTACACCTTTCTTATCTTATGTAGGTGTTTCCTATTGTACCGTTTAACTTCATTTCTTGTCTCTTTTGCTGTAATTTTGGAGTTATTTTCTTAGTAGTTGCCCTAGAGGTTACAGTTAGCACCTTAACTTTACAAATATTAATTTCCACAATATAATACAATATTTCAATAATACACTGATTTCAGTAATAACACCACAAACTGTCAATGTTATTTGGGGTCCAATGAGACACTCCTCTTGCTCCAGAAATCCCAGCGGTTTAGAGGCTCCCCCCCAGGAGCCGGGGACGAAGGCCAGGCCTCTTTTTGGGTAAAGTCAGCTCTTTACCATGCAGTCTTTGTAACAGTGTTGAACTAGTATTATTTAATTAAATCATGAAAATTGAAATTCGTGCATGTTGGAAACATACGCAGCAAAAAACATGCACATATCTCACATGTATGAACTGCTTATAAAAGATAAAAAAATTTATTTTCTTATTTAGAAAAATGATTTGTCAGAATGTATCAGAAAGCCTTGAAAAAAATCTTAGATTGCATCCAATGATCTCATATTGTGATTCATTCAAAGAGTGACATCAGAATATGAAGATGAATATACGTATGTTCCTCTATGACTGAAGCATTGTGCTGTGCACCAGAAATTGACACAACATTGTAAACTGACTACACTTAAATAAAAGTATAAAAAAGAGTGACATCAAATATATTAAAAAATTAATACCAAAAAATTGAAAATAACCTAAATTGGGAAATGTTTACATTTGGAGGAATGTAATGAAGCTATGTTAATCCAGCAAATTGAGAAATGTTTTTATATAGTGTGATCTGAAAAAGTGCATAAAGTTATATATGAACAGAGCAAAATCATATTTTAGAAGGCACACTAAAACTTTTAGAGTAGTGATCTTTGATCTGTAAAGAAGTAAATTGCTAATTTAGTTTTACTTTTCTCTGTACTTCAATTTTTCACAAGCATGAATTTATTAAAACATAAAGCATAAACATGAATTTGCATGGCGAGTTAGTTTGTGAATAGGCGTGGCTGGGGCACTGTTTAGCTTGGGCCGCCACAGAAATTTATTGGGGGCTGGGACTTCAGTATGTACATTGGTGGGGGCACAAACATTTGGTATTACTGGCAGCCAGCTGAACATTGAAAGTGACTTAAAACATAACGTATTGTGTAAAAGAGGACTTAGAGTGGACTTCCTTAATGTAGGTTCCATGAAAGACGTTTGGGAGCGTGCAGCCTTCTTGAAGTTAGGTCCAAGATTGTCTTGGCATTTGTTCTGGGGGTGGAAATAGTGCAGAACTTCCATCAGATGTTCAAAGCATATGTGACCTCAAAAAAGGTAAGAGCCACTCAAGGAGAGGAAATTTACAAGAGGAACACCAAAATGAAACTGTACATGAGAGAAGCAAGAGTGATGCCTAGATGGGCAAACTCATCGCTGAGGGTTTTCTCAGCACAGAACAGAGACAGTGAGGCAAGAACATGGAAGGAACAGCTCTGGGGGTCGTGGGCCTGGCTTTGAGCCTCACCATTTTTGGCTAGAGTTGAGGGTGAGGTTTTAGAGCTCCTGGGGTCTGTCGCTGAGTCTGCAAGTCTAGAGTGTCGGCTGAAGCTGGCCGGGTGCTGCCAGGCACGGGGCCGGGCAGTTTACCCCATTCCCACGCGCACGGCATCCATGCAGTGCTCCCCGGCAGCAGAGCTGTGGCCCCACTTCAGGGGTGTGGAGGGTAAGTCGGAGTCCCAGAGTCTGGCACTGGGAGACCCTTGGGGACCCTGGCTTCCACTCCCCCTGAAGTGGAGCAGTTACATTACTGTCACCACGGAGCCGTTCCTGTCCTCCCACCCCCCGGTGTACTGAGACTGCTGGAAACACAAGTGGACTTCCATCCACTCTGACATCCTGGAAGGAGCGAATACGCCAGACACGGCTGGGACCCCGAGATGCAGGTCAGGCTGAAGGCTTGCAGGGTGGTGCTGGTCCCCCCCAGGGGTTTGACTCCAAGACCAAAGGTCTGTGGACGGAGTATAGTGACTTGGTGCTGAGAGTGGAAACCTTGCAGTTGCTGGGAAGAGGACCACATGGCACCCACTTCGCAGAAACTTCTTTCCCTCTCTGTCCACTCCAGAAGGACTGTGGGGCAGTGACTCAGTGTCAGACCATTCTTGGGGTCTGGGCCAGATGTACCCTTCACGTATACTAGGTTACCTGCTTTCATGGACTTATGCACTGGATTCCCACACAGAATTTGCACAAAATCCTTGGTTGAATTTGGATCTCAAGAAAGGATGAGATCGGATTACTTGAAGCAGGAGACCCACTGCCCCCTGGTGGCAAGACTGCAAACTTCAGGGCTTGTGCCCAGAGGAATAAGGCAGTTTGAGGGTTAATTTATACAACAGGAGAGACGTGTATTACTAAATCACAGTGAGTCAGAAGAGCTGTCTGTTTTTTTTTTTTTTTTTGCGGGGGCGGTGACTGACACTAAAAAAAAAAAATTAAGTGAAGAGGAACTCGCACCTGTCATAAGATTTCTGTACACAAGAGTTTTGGAGAGGATTTCAAAGTACCGCCACCCCAAAGCAGTCCTGAAAGGAGTCGACAGACTGAGCTCTGATGAAGCGACTTCGTGAACGTGACGTTGTTGGCACAGCGCTTCCTTCCTTTTCTGTTACTCTGTTTTATTGCAAAGCAGACCTCTCCTCTCACGCCTTCTGTCCGTTCCGTTCCTCTTCCCTCCCTGGAGGTGGGATGACGCAGGGTCCGTGGTTTTGGCCCGCAGAGTGAGTTAGCACATGCCTTAGTTAGCAGCGGGAGAGGCCAACGCCATGCCAAGGGGCTTGGTCAGTTTCTAAGGGGGTCGCTTAGCTCTGTGTCGTCTCATGGCCACACGTGTGACTTTAATCACGCTGGTCAATTTTCTCTAGCTCCAAAGTTTATCAAGGGCAAGTAACACGGTGGACACCCAGCGACACCACGGAAGCAGCTCAGGCAGCAACGTCCTGGGTAGCTGGTTAGCACCGACCTCCTAAATCTAAGGGAACAGACATGAGCCCCCGTACGCCGGTGGGCTGGTTACTACCCGTGCCCAGGGGTACCAGGTGCACAGAGACCTTTGCACGTCAAACCACGCATGTCTAGTAAGTGACGGATGCGATGCCACTGACAGAAACTTTCTGGGAAAAGTTACCTATTTTATTTGCATTTGACGTTTTATAGGACTTTAAAGCCCTGACTTCTTTCCCAGTCCTTCCAGCAGAGCCCGGGGTGCACCTGCGTTCCCTGCGCAGCACACGGACGTGCTCTGACGGGGCGGGGCA